CAAGGTGGTGAAATCAATTATAGGAATATTTTTTACACTGTTACGCTTGTTTTTAAGATTTGCAAAAATTACCTTTTTTGAAAATTTAATTATTAGGGTATAAGATGGCAGATGGCATAAATTCACGAAAAGTAAATCTGCAAAATAGATTTGTAGCAAATTCACAAAATTTACTGCACTTGAAAATTTTGGACTATACAGTACATGTACATTTTATATATGTTCATGTACATCATTTCTTCCTCCTCTACAGGCTGGAGGGTCAGCAGGTTAACCTCAGAGAGCAGCATGATGCCTTTGAGTTCTTCAATACACTAGTGGACAGTGTGGACGAGGGACTCAAGGCTTATAATGCCACACCAATCATCAGCAAAGTACTGGGAGGATCCTTCGCTGATCAGAAGATATGTAAAGGATGTCCTCACAGGTAGGGGCGGGGCAGTGGGTGGGGCTTATAGGATATTTATTGTATTATCATTGTACAGAAGATTATTTTAAAAATTAAAGTGAGAAGAGTAGCAATGATTTGTACATGAAAAAAAACTACAATATGTATAACTTAAGAAACAGTAGTTTTGCACTAAGAGTAACATCTAAAAATGTTATAAGACAATAAATTGCTATAACGACTACATGTATTAGTTTTTAAAAATAGTTTTAACTACAATGTACTTATTATATTTATTTCATTATTGTTCTTAGTCTTGTTTTGATAGAAAGTCACAAACTGTTTTCACTTTTTTCCGAGTGATACTATACTGAGCTCTTGCTTGTATCTCTGTACCACTGAAATCAATGAATATCTCGTATTTTCTCTCTTTCCTTGGTATATTATCAGGATTAGGAATATCAAGTATTAGCTCACCAATCTTATGTACTGTTGGTTTACCTTCTTTATCTACTATATACTGAACCCCATCATCTGATGTACAGTATATAGGGATATGTACTTGTGTGTGGCTTTGGCAATGAGGTATTAGTGTAGTTTTACATACTTTATTCTTTATTTCTTCTCCTTTGAGTATAAATACATTAAAGACATCACCACAACGTTGTACACCTTCTGCATTTACCCTCTTGTAATGTTCATCATGTATTGATGGGTTGAATGCTATAGAAGCATTTATCCCATAGGTAGCATCAGCAACGCGTGATTGGATTATGTGAGGATCTTTCCTCCACATTACTGCTCCTCTTACTACAGCAAGATCTGGTTGTACTGGACACACTATATTATCATAAAGCATGCCACAATGCTGAGCAATAGCTTCTTCTATCTTTTGACTAACAAACCTACACCCTCCAAACCCTCCTACCAGATAAACTGTATCGATTCTATTAGGCTTGAGCTTTTCAAATGCTGCTCTCACACACTCAATGATCTTATCAACTGTGGATTTAAATACCTTCTCTTCTAACTGATGATAGTTCATTTCTAATGAAAGGTCTCCAGGATCATAATGCATGTTCATCTTCGTAGCTTCACGAAGCTTATCATTACCATAGAATGATACAAAAGCTGGGGGTAAGGTCAGTACCATCTCGCTAATGCCTTCAGTTGTGTCGCCAAATGTTTTTTTTCGTTCTTCGAATTCTCCATAAAAAAATTTATTCAAAGTAGCCTTTGCGCGAGTTGGATCTGAAATTAGGAAACATTCAAAATCTTTATCATCTACTGCTTCTTCCAGTATCATTGACAGTGCTTCATTGACAGTAGTACCTCCCCAGGTGTTCCCCATTGGTGGTAGTACTACACTAATTCTCCCATTACTCTTATCATGTACAGTAATATCAACTGTACCTCCTCCTATATCAACTACCATATATCTCTGTGGAAGGGACCCTGATACTGCTGACTGATGCTGTGCAGCTATAGCAGCTACTTCTGGTTCTAGAGCTAATGATAGCTTCTCGGGATTAACCTCCTCTGGACTTCGTAAATCAGAAATAACTGGAGTGAACCTTGTTATACCAGGAGCATCAGAAGTGAGACCAGCCTATCATATTAACATAATGAAATACAAAGCATGTATTAGGTTACCATATAAGCAGCTTCTCTCATCATTCTTCTTGCTCTTGCTTTCCATATAGCAGGAACAGTAATGACCCAATCAAAATCACTTGACTTGTACTTTCTCTTCAGATGATCAGTGAGTAGCTTCTCCTTGAGGTGTGTTAGTATACAAGCTATAACTTCAATGAGATAATAATATCCACCAGTGAATGAAGAGACTTCAGTAGTACGATCTAATGGCTAGAATATATTAATTGATTTAACTGTTTAATCCTTCCCAACTCACTGTATCTCTCTCCAGTAAGGTCTTTATTCGTTCAAAATAAATGAAATTTTGAGCTTCTTTCTTGATGTCACCATAAATGCTCTGTGCCCTATATCCAACTCCAATTACTTTACATTGCTGGTTCTCCTGGTCCTTCAGTATTAGTATAGCATTAGGTACCCTCTCATAACTGCTGTGTAGTGGTACTAGTTTGATCTGTCCATCAGTTGCAGGAGTGGTGTATGCTACTGATAGTGATGAGGTACCAAAGTCAATAGCTGCTATGCAACTGCTGCTTCGTATTACTGGAGTGGATCTAGGTATCTTGTCAGCTCTTGATAATGGTGGCAAAGCCATGATCAGTATAGGAGAGAAGTAACCTGTAGCTATAACTGTATTGTTGAGTGGAACACACACACATACTGTATATACAGTGACTACTTTGAAGTTGTGTTAGTGGTGTGATCCTACAAGTAGATTCATGTATAGTGACCTCAAATAATAATGCCATTCACTAACAGTGCTGGTCTCTTTATCAATAATCATTGATTGACACTTCCTCTTGTTAAGAATGTGAATATAAGAACTTACATTACATGTAATTGTTACATTAGTCCTACAGCTAGTACATATGCACTACCATGCTGAGTTGTAACTGGCCAATCAGATTACTGCAGGAGGTTTCTAAATCACCTCCACTTACATTTGAAAATATTTGAAAGCCTTTAGGAACAAGTTAACCTCCTGGTAAATGCCCTTAGTAAAACTGTCCACAATTTATTACCAGTAAAATATAACCCCTACACAGTATATAATGGTAGATTTATAAGCTTAAAAACCTGTTAAGTTAAAACATTGATTTAGTGGAAAAATATATTGCAGTTTGGCAGTCAATAACTGATGTACAGTGTAACTGCCAATACTGAGCCTGACTTTTACAAATGGTAACAAACCAGATAAGCTTCAGGTGTTTAGTGTCACTGGATATACTGTTAGTTTATTTTGCAGTAAAATATTTTTGCGAATCTTACATTTCTAAGATTTTGCAAAATTAATTTTCGTGAATAGCTTGCAGACTGCACCACGTGGCAATGAAGATACAGAGTTTTGTCATGGGAAATTTTTGCAACGAGTCAAAAACACAAAATTTTACAAAAATATCTTACTGCAAAAATAAACCGTGTATGTGTGGCTGTTATTAGAAGTCTATTGGTTTATCTAACTCCTCAGTTTATCCAGTGATTCTCAGCTTCTGTACTTTATCTATTTACTGGTCAAGTAATAATTTGGTGAATTTGGTGCATTGA